CGATTCGCTCAAGAAGATTTCCTGATATCATTACCCAAAAAGTTGATGATAGGTCTAACGACACTTTTCCTCTCTATAATAACCATGATGGTTGCCTTTGCGGTTAGCTTCTTCGTGTTATACCGTAACAGTTTGATCTCGATACCGATTATCATCAGTGTAGGTGCTATAGTACCCATCTTTCTATACTTGAAACTGCAGTTTCCTCTTTTGGTGGATGTGTATCGCTCAACGTATGGTAGCAGGTATCTCTTTAGGCCCAAAAAGCGTGTGCTTTACTATCGCAATCCTACTTGTTAATTGTTGTCGTCGTGACCACTTTCGAGCTATTTCTTACAACTTTGAAGGCGAAATCTATGTTTTTTTGTTCTTTTTGAAATTGAAATGTACGCACTTTAACATTGTTGCTATGTATCATGCATATTCTTTTTGTTATCAAATTATTTAGTTTTGTTCTTAAAATATTAATTCAACTATGTCTCGTTTGTTATTTCTGATCAATTGGCGAAATAAAAAGAAAAGCACACAAAGTCGAGTCCGGCCACACTCGAAGAGTTATGGACGGTTTATTAAACACTTACCCGGATAAGTACTTACCAATATAACACTTACCTTACATATCCAATTTGGCAAGGACCCAAAATCTTATAATGATAGTATTTGTGTAATATTCATCACAGGTTCGCAAAACACTTGTGCTTTCTAAATGAACCCCCCCCCCCTACAAACATAAACATCGTCGTTTTTGCAATGCATTGGCATGGTAGAAAGCAAGTTTTGATGAAATTCTTAGTGGGTGTTTGGTTTGACATAATCACTACAACAAAACTAGGTTTATAGGACGTTACCAATTTCTAAACGTCCAAATAGACTATTTTATAAGACTTAGTTTATAGAACTAAATTTTTTTTTTTATCTAAAGACCATTTTGGCGTCCTAACAAATACTAAGCGTCACATTTACAATTTATGGGACACTTATGAGAAAGTATCCTATAAACCTATCTTTTTATAGGACACTTTTTCAAATAGTATCATTTAAAATTGCTAATACGACGTTTTGTATTAAAATTGTCCTAAAAATGTGTTAAGGCGCCTAAAAGCGTCTTATAAACTTATTACAATGTATTTAGATAGAACATTTTATTTTTTGGTCCTATAAAGCGATCTATTAATACACTTAGAAATTGGTGGCGTCCTATAAACCCAATTTTGTAGTAGTGAATGTTTTTTAAGGATTTTGATTTCCTGGAAAGATTTGAAATATTTTGTGTATTTGATATGTAGGATTTATAAACACGAATCATAATTAAGTAATCATAAAAACAATTAAATTTTTTTATTAATTGATTATTATAAAATGAATGTTTCAACATATTTTAAAACATTATTACAAACAAATCTTTTGAAATTCCGTGAGATTTCATTGAAATCCCGAGGATTTTAATTATAGATTTTCCTTTACACTAGACGAAAGGTTATGCCCTCCCAACCAAAACTTCCATTCATTTTTGGGGATGTTAATTCCATTCAAGAGGCTGCCTTCCTTGTTTTGGATAAAATTATGTCTTCAGATCATTGGCAATTTTGTATATGCACCACGATAAATCCAAATAAATTTGCAGCTAGAGCAACTATATCGAGATGCCTAAATGTGGTTCAAAAGTTGTGTTGTACATTCATTGGGTCTAGTAATCGCGGCTCACGGTGGCCTACATTGATTTTGGCCACCATGATGATAACGGTGGTGGTCCATTTTTTGTTGGAGCTCATTCCATTTGGTGTGCCCAAAACCAGGTTTTGGCATATTACGATTAAGAGTCACCACCCCACTTACCTACCCAACAAAATTTCCGTCCATCAAAATAGCATAGTGAGATTGTTGGTAACCATTTTGTTACCCGGTGTAAGATTCTCAATATTTGCCTTGTCTCACTTTCGAGGTAAGATTAATAAAGACCACATATCTGATCGGGTAAAGGTCTTTTTACTTGATAAAAAACAGTAATTGTTTAGTAAACGGCTCATGAATGGAAATGCATGATATGAAGATCTCTTTGGACTGTTGTAGCGTTTGGTGACTTGGTGCCATTCTGGAATATGTTGGATTATCCAACATGCATAGATGCACTGGAGTTTGAAGATCAATATAGTTTCATGCCAATGACCAATTAACGGTTGATTTTGTGAGTGAAAAAGGTTAACAAATTGATTCGATAGCTAAACATAAACTTATTATCACACAACACAAGACAAAAATTTGTTGTTTAGTAGGTCAATAATAATTCCGAACTTGGGTATTGCGGACCTAGTGAATTTTGGGTAAAGTCCGGAAAGAAGAAGTTGGGAGTTCAATTTGGTTGTGGAATATGGTCATTTGGGTCAAATTCCCTAATAAATATCATACGTTCAAATTATTTTTAATATTGAAATTTTCTACCCTTATAATTATTTATTCACGTTGTAATTACAAGGATATAAAATTTAAGTATTAAGAATAATTCATGAATAAAGATTTTAGACAAGTTTTTTACTCCAACAAATTCTTTCAAATTTTCTCCAAAATAGGGGGGAGAGAGAGAGAGAGAGAGCGAGAGTGAGAAATTCTAAAAATTTGGATAATTCTCCAAAATGATTTTTTTTTTATTATATTCCATCAATAAGAAACTATTAAATCACGATATATGATAATAAATGATATATTATTAATATTAGAAGAGTACTCGCACAATGCAGCGAGACACATCTCGATTTTAATGTTATATTTTATTAGTTGTCTTTGTCGATATTATAATACGACTTTATGTGTTTTTAAGAAAACAATAATAATTTTATTTTTGAATAAAATATAAATTTGAAGACATTATAAAAATTTGAAAAAAAAATATACCAATGTTAATATCAAATCAACTATTTAAAAGTTCTCAATTTTTTTTATGTATTTTCTTTAATTTTTTTAATTTTAATTTAATTTAAGTTTAATAATCGAAATAATTTATTTTTGGTTTAATAATATTATATTTTATAAAGATAATAATTAAGTATTCTATTAGAACTCAATAATTATCCTAATTATATTTTAAATTTTATATTTAAAATGAGATGTTTATCTTGTATTTGATTATGTTTATCTGCAGTTAGTTACACGAATTCAGATATAAAACTTTAATAAGTTGTACTTACACACAATCTAATTACAATTTTGAATTTTAAGTAATATGCATTAATAAATAGTAATTTACACGTAAAAAGTGATTTATAATATTTTTTGACAAATGCTTTATAATATAGTATAGATATATAATTATAATATTTTAATAATGTTTGTAATTTAGAAATGGAGAAGTTGACGTTGTTGACCCATAAGGGTAATAATAATTTTAAAATAATAAATAATTAATATTAATGGATATTTTTAGAATTAAAATTAATTAATAATTTATAACTGATGCTAATAAATATTTATTATAAATTAAAAAATTATACTTATTAATAATAAATAAATATTGATATTAATTGGAAACATGTGATCAATAGTAAAGAAAATATAGGTGGAGGGTTTAAATTGTCAATAAGAGAAAGTACGAGAATTGACTTAGATATTGGATTCTAAAACCCCCTTGATTTATGAGAAAATTAAGAGATGGAATATTTCAGTTTGAGTTCAAAGTTTGGAAGAGCGTGTATGAATGTGATGATAAATTGGAGTTAAAGCATTCATAGATCACCCTAACATTCGTGTTAAGTAATTCTTGTCTCATGTCATATGAAATGAGAGTCTTATAAGTCATTGATTCAGGAAAAGAAGCAACAAAGGCGTTGTTGGGTTGAATCAGTACGTACTTAATAGCAATAAGTCACACATTCAGTATACACACATGAATTACTCTTATTAATAATTTTATTTGGAAGGGTGTCCCGACTAATCTCGACGGCAAGAAATCAGCCCCGATAAACTAAGATGCCATAATTGTTGTGGACCCAACCGGGCAGATGGGATATTCCACCACATCCGCCTGAATCTCAACCACTACGCCACACTCCTTGTGGTTCACACGTGAATTATGTGGTGCAGGTGGTGGCTATAGTTTACGATTTTAGTTTTGATTGTGCAGGCAGGTAATTGATAAGCAGTGAAGACAAAGATCCTGACAATCACATATTTGGGGTCAATTGGTGATCAGCCGAATTTCTTAATCAAGCATCAGAAATGTCTGAGATGAGTAATCAACCACTACAGGAAATATCTTATACTTCCGAACAATCCACACCATCTTACAATCCTCTTTGTGAAGATCTACTTTATCGTAAGTTGTAGCTAGTATTATATTTGACTAAATTTCTTTTAGTATTATATTCAGCACCTCATTTATCCGGTGATGATATATACATGAGTTTGGCATAATTAATTTAGTTTTTGGAATTACTTAGAAAGAAGAAGAAGAGATTTCATCAATATTTGTCTTCCTCTCTATCAAGTGTCAGTCATAGGAGACTGGGAAGCAGTGGAAAAGATCCTAGCCATTAATCGTGAATTCAAAGATGACTTACTAGGGTATAGTATCACAGAAGATAAGGATACAGTGTTAGAATCTAGAAGTGAACCATCAAACATGAATCAATGATAAACGAAATTGAACATGAACGAAATCTAACCTTGTACAGTGGGGCTTGATGTTGTTTCTTGTACTTGTTGCTCCATCGTCTTCTTCCAGTTTCACACCATAATCTGCCCTTATGATGGATAAGGATATGCAGAGATTTTGTGTACTGCATGAGGCATGAAACAGGGTATGGATGCCATATATGTACGTTCTCAACAGGTTGACAGTTACTCCCATCAGGTAACTGTTAATAACCACCATTCCAAGGGTTGTGTCCCTTCATTCTTTATATTTATACCACAATACGTATACATAAAACTGATCATTTAATAAACTTATACGTATTATAAATCAACTCTTAATTACATAATTCAATTGGTCATATATATGAATATATCAAATATGTTACTTGTTCTCTTCATGTAGTACATACAACACTTGCCATTGCTGCATGTTCCGAAAACATCAAGTACGTGGAAAATCTAGTCGACCGGATGACAGATCAGCAACTCACACTTCAAGATGAACATGGCCGAACCGCCCTTCATATCGCAGCTGCAGTTGGAAACGTCGATATGGCAATGGCTATGGTTGGAAAGCATCCGCAACTGCTGAAAATCCGTAATGGTGTCAACGCGCTGCCAATCTATGTGGCTGTTATATATGGAAAACATGATATGGTTGCTTATCTCTATGATGAGTACAAAAGTATGGCAGGTTATAATTGGACAGTCGACGACATAAGTAACGTTTTATGGAGATGCATCGAGGCTGATCTCTTTGGTACATTTCTTGTTTCATCATAATTATGCATGTGTTTAAGTACCCTTTAATTTCCTTGCCTCTTTTTCATCAGTTTTTACTTTTTTCTCCGTTCTGAATCAAGTAGTTGTTGCAATATGGTCATCATTATGATCATTTGATGATCAACCTCATCTTATATCAAAACATACACCTTTTCTCAAGATCCTATCATATGACTTGTTTTCCTAAATAATTGTAATGGGYTTCCATATAAATTATGCTTCATGTTGAATGGTGATTGCCATATAAATGCTTTATGTAGATTGTGCAATAAGAATATTGGATGACCAAGGCGACCTATTTGGATTCCCTTCAAGAGTGTATGCACGAGAGATACTCTACATATTGGCTCAAAAGACTTATGTGTTTAAATGTATCAAGTTATGGAAAAATTCAAGTAAGTATTTTTTTCATTCTACATTTAAGTTAATTGCAATTTGTTAGAGATACTGTTTAAACCTATACAATTAGGTGCAAGAAAACACACACACTTATGTGTGTGTGTGTATATATATATATATATATATGTATATGTGTGTGTGTGTGTGAGAGAGAGAGTTCAAACGAGAACATAGTCAACTTACGCACACTCTTGGCCCGGCTACCTTGGAGGTTTGACCATCCTTAATCACAAGTGGTTTATTTTGTTCTAAGATCACATATACCTGTTTCATTTGATCCTTCGTATATAGATATTGATATAAAATCACATATACCTGTTCCAAGTGGATTACTATATAAACTCTTTACCACAAATTTGCCGAATTAAATTACGTTACTTTACTACAGATGTACGTTACTTGCAGTCACTTGGGTGCGACCTGCCATAAGGGAAAGTAGTGTAGCCCCAGGCCCAGAATTACTAAGAAAAATTCGGAAAAATATTTTGGAAAGGCCGAGTGATGAAATCAAGCACATTCTCAAAGGCCCCTGCCACAAGGGAAAGTAGTGATTAAATGAAACATGYTATGAATCATATCATAGATAATTGTGGGGGATGAATATTGTAAAAGAAAATTAAGTCTATATTAAGCGTTTTGTATTTAATTAATCTGATTGTTACTTGCATGCAGTCACTAATTAGGGGCGACCTGCCATAAGGGAAAGTAATGTAGTCATAGGCCCAGAATTACTAAGAAAAATTTGGAACAGGATTTTGCTAAGGCCGATTTATGAAATCAATGAGATTCTCAAAGGCCCCATGGTTATTACTAAAGATGCGGAGGTAACATACCCTTTTCACATACCGTTTGTGGCAGCAGAAAAGGGCAACACTAAGTTTTTAGCTGAGCTACTTGCTGAATATCCTGTTCTTTTGTGGAGGGTAAATGATGATGAACATAATATCTTTCACATCGCCGTCTCTCATCGCCAGGAAAGTATCTACAATCTATTATACGATATGGGCTCAGTACATAGTGTTATTACTCGTGAGARGGACAAGGATGGCAATAACTTGTTACATTTAGCGGGAATGAAAGCAGAAAGTCCCCATGAGGATGTGTCGGGAGCTGTGTTTCAAATGCAACTTGAATTGTTATGGTTCAAGGTACATATATATATATATATATATATATATATATATTACTTCTAACCTGGCCATTCAAGTAATGGTTTCAATCGTATTTAATGAGCTTATATGTGCATCGTAGGAAATAAACTCTAAAGTCCCTCCTTCTTGTAGAGAAGAGAAGAACAATGATGGTCGAACACCACTTCAACTATTCACCGAGAACCACCACGACATGGTATCCAAAGGTGAGAAGTGGATGAAAGGAACAGCCAACCAATGCATGGTGGTTGCTGCACTAATAACCACCGTTGTATTTTCGGCAGCTTTTACCATTCCAGGTGGGTACGACCAAAACGATGGCCTTCCTATCTTCCTCAAAGATGGACCCTTCATAGCCTTCGTCATATTGGATGCCATTTCTTTAATCTTGTCTTCAGCTTCCATCCTTATGTTCTTATCCATCCTTACTTCTCGTTACGCTCAAGAAGATTTCCTGGTATCATTACCCAAAAAGTTGATGATAGGTCTAACGACACTTTTCCTCTCTATAATAACCATGATGGTTGCCTTCACAGTCAGCTTCTTCGTGTTATACCGTAACAGTTTGATCTCGGTACCGATTATCATCAGTGTAGGAGCTGTAGTACCCATCTTTCTATACATGAAACTGCAGTTTCCTCTTTTGGTGGATGCATATCGCTCAACATATGGTAGCAGGTATCTCTTTAGGCCCAAAAAGCGTGTGCTTTTCTATCGCAATCCTAGTATCTGATTGATGTCGTTGTGACCACTTTCAAGCTATTCATTAGAACTTTGATGACGATATATATGTCTTTTTCTTTCTGAAAGTGAATTAGTAATATATCACGCAGATTCTATTCGTTATCTAATTATTTAGTTTAGCTCTTTAAATAATTACTTCAACAGTGTCTTTCTAACGAATATATAAAGAAAGCATACAAAGTCGAGTTGGGCCAAATTAACTCTTGTTTGCTCTCTTCTTCATTTGCATGCTCTTGATTATAAGCCTATGCATAAGTTTATTTACCATTAATTTTAGCATAAATATTTTAAAAACCGTTAATTACTCATCATAAATAACAAATATATATATATATATATATAATATTTATGTGGATGTTTTTCTTTTGTGACGAATTTAGTATTCATCATGAATAGTTCATTAATAATTGGTTTTTACAGTCTTCAAAATATTTACAACTTCTAATTAAACTTTCTACGCACCGGTAATGTTTTTGAGGGATTTTGATTTTGTGGGAAAAAATTGGAACGTTCGTTGTGTTTAGTATGTAGGGTTTGAAATGAAATTGAGTTTCATTCTTTATAGATAACTTATAAAAACTTTTTACAAATAATTAAATTACTTTTTATTAATTGATTATTATAAAATAATTGTTTTTAACATATTCAAAATGTTATTACAAACAAATCCTTTGTAATCCTCTTAATTACAAACTATATATCTCCATGGAATTTTGAAATCAATGTTTGTGGAATTTCTTTAAAATCCTGAAGATTACAATTCCAGTTTTTTTCTTTAAACCAAATATTAGATTGCAATGGAATCCAATTTTAAATCCTGCAAACCAATCGGGCCCTAAACGGAATGGCGTTCCTTTGCCTTCCAACCAAAATTTCCATCCATTTTTGGGGATGTTAATTGCATTTTGGTATCAAAATATATATTCAAGAGGTTGCCTTCCTTGTTTTGGATAAAAGAATGGATCATTGAGAATTTTGGGTGTGCACTATAATAACTCGAAATAAATTTGTAAAGCCAGATTAACTACATCGAGATGCTTAATTGTGGTTCAAATGTTGTGTCGTAGGTTTATATCAATTGCTCCAGTCAAGTATTCATGATGAATGACATGAATATAATGATAAACTTATATATTCATAAATGGAAGTGATTGTACTTACAATGATAGTATTTATGTAGTATTCATCATGAATACTTAATTAACAGTTGGTTTTTATAGGTTTTCAGAACACTTATGCTTTCAAAATGAACTTTCCCCCTACAAATGTAAACTTCATGGCTTTTACACGGCATTTTGTATTAAAAGTGTCAAAAAGTGATATTTTATTTTAAAAGTGTCCTAAAAACGTTCTATAAACTTATTACAACGCATTTAGATAGGAAGATTTAATTTTTTTGGTCATATAAAACGATCTATTAGTACACTTAGAAATTGGTAGCGTCCTACAAACCCAATTTTGTTGTAGTGAATGTTTTTGATGGATTTCGATTTCCTAGAAAGATTTGAAGTATTTTGTGTGTTTGATACGTAGGATTTGAAATGGAATTGAGTTTCATTCTTTACAGATAATTTATAAAAATAAATCATAAGTAATCATAAAAATAATTAAATTCTTTTATTAATTGATTATTATAAGATGAATGTTTTAACATATTTTTAAAACATTATTACAAACAAATCTTTTGAAATCCCGAGGATTTTAATTCTGAACTCTCCTTTACACTAGACGTGAGATTGAAATGTACAAATCCTGCAAATCAACCACGCCATAGACGAAAGGTTATGCCCTTCCCCCAATCAAAACTTCCATTTGTTTTTGGGGATCTTAATTCCATTCAAGAGGCTGCCTTCCTTGTTTTGGATAAAATTATGTCTTCAGATCATTGGCAATTTTGTATTGCACCAAAATAAGTCCAAATAAATTTGCAGCTAGAGCAACTATATCGAGATGCCTAATTGTGGTTCAAACGTTGTGTTGTACATCAATTGGTCCAGTAATCGGGACTCACGGTGGCCTAAATCGATTTTGGCCACCACGATGATAACGGTGGTGGTCCCTTTTTGGTTGGAGCTCATTCCACGTGGTGTGCACTAAACCAAGTTTTGGCATATTACGATTAAGAGTCACCACTTCACTTACCTACCAAGTAAAATTTTCGTCCATAAAAATAGCATATTAAGATTGTGGTAAGCATTTTTTACCCAGCGTAAGTGTCAATTTATTTGGTAAGAGGATGTAATTGTTTAGTAAACGACCCATTAGAAATGGAAATGCATGAAGATCTCTTTGGACTGTTGGAGCGTTTGGTGACTTGGTGCCATTCTGGAATATCTTGGATTATCCAACATGCACTGGAGTTTGAAGATCATTATAGTTTCATGCCAATTACCAATTAACGGTTGATTTTGTGAGTGAAAAAGGTTAACAAATTGATTTGATAACTAAACATAAATTTATTATCACACAAAACAGACAAAAAATTGTTGTTTTGTGGGTCAGTAATAATTTCGAACTTGAGTATTGCGGACCTAATGTCTTTTGGGTAAAATCCGAAAAGAAGAGGTTAGAAGTTCAATTTGGTAGTGGAATAATGATCATTTGAGTCAATTTCTCTAATAAATATCATACATTTAAATTATTTTTAATATTTACATTTTCTACTTTTATAATTATAAATAATTATAAAAGTAGAAAATGTAAGTATTAAAAATAATTCATGAATAAATATTTTAAACAATTTTTTTTACTTCAACAAATTCTTCCAAAATTTTCTCCAAAATAAGGGGAAGAGAGTGAGAAATTCTAAAATTTTGGATAAGTCTTCAAAATGATTTTCTTTATTATATTCACTTTTAAATCATGATTTATGGAATATATATATATATATATATATATATATATATATATTATTAAGTATATATA